CTCATACCACATGACTCTGCACAAGGCAGATATTGGGGACTAACTCATACCACATGACTCTACAAGGCAGATATTGGGGACTAACTCATACCACATGACTCTGCAAGGCAGATGTTGGGGACAACTGACTCTACAAGGCAGCAGATATTGGGCAGATATTGACTAACTCATACCACATGACTCTACAAGGCAGATATTGGAGACTAACTCATACCACATGACTCTACAAGGCAGATATTGGGGACTAACTCATACCACATGACTCTACAAGGCAGATATTGGGGACTAACTCATACCACATGACTCTGCAAGGCAGATATTGGAGACTAACTCATACCACATGACTCTACAAGGCAGATATTGGGGACTAACTCATACCACATGACTCTACAAGGCAGATATTGGGGACTAACTCATACCACATGACTCTACAAGGCAGATATTGGGGACTAACTCATACCACATGACTCTACAAGGCAGATATTGGGGACTAACTTCGTACCACATGACTCTACAAGGCAGATATTGGGGACTAACTCATTGTACCACATGACTCTTCAAGGCACTCATACCACATGACTCTACAAGGCAGATATTGGAGACTAACTTCATTACCACATGACTCTACAAGGCAGATATTGGGGACTAACTCATACCACATGACTCTACCAGGCAGATATTGGACTAACTCACCTGACTCTACAAGGCAGATATTGGGGACTAACTCATACCACATGACTCTACAAGGCAGATATTGGGGACTAACTCATACCACATGACTCTACAAGGCAGATATTGGGGACTAACTCATACCACATGACTCTACAAGGCAGATATTGGGGACTAACTCATACCACATGACTCTGCAAGGCAGATGACTGGGAGACTAACTCATACCACATGACTCTACAAGGCAGATATTGGGGACTAACTCATACCACATGACTCTACAAGGCAGATATTGGGGACTAACTCATACCACATGACTCTACAAGGCAGATATTGGGGACTAACTTGTACCACATGACTCTGCAAGGCAGATATTGGGGACTAACTCATACCACATGACTCTACAAGGCAGATATTGGGGACTAACTCATACCACATGACTCTGCAAGGCAGATATTGGGACTAACTCATACCACATGACTCTACAAGGCAGATATTGGGGACTAACTCATACCACATGACTCTACAAGGCAGATATTGGGGACTAACTCATAACACATGACTCTGCAAGGCAGATATTGGGGACTAACTCATACCACATGACTCTGCAAGGCAGATATTGGGGACTAACTCATACCACATGACTCTGCAAGGCAGATATTGGGGACTAACTCATACCACATGACTCTACAAGGCAGATATTGGGGACTAACTCATACCACATGACTCTACAAGGCAGATATTGGAGACTAACTCATACCACATGACTCTACAAGGCAGATATTGGGGACTAACTCATACCACATGACTCTACAAGGCAGATATTGGGGACTAACTCATACCACATGACTCTGCAAGGCAGATATTGGGACTAACTCATACCACATGACTCTACAAGGCAGATATTGGGGACTAACTCATACCACACATGACTCTACAAGGCAGATATTGGGACTAACTCATACCACATGACTCTACAAGGCAGATATTGGGGACTAACTCATACCACATGACTCTACAAGGCAGATATTGGGGACTAACTCATATCCACTCTCACAACTCTGGCAGATGATATTGGGACTAACTCATACCACATGACTCTACAAGGCAGATATTGGGGACTAACTCATACCACATGACTCTACAAGGCAGATATTGGGGACTAACTCATACCACATGACTCTACAAGGCAGATATTGGGGACTAACTTGTACCACATGACTCTACAAGGCAGATATTGGGGACTAACTCATACCACATGACTCTACAAGGCAGATATTGGAGACTAACTCATACCACATGACTCTACAAGGCAGATATTGGGGACTAACTCTGACCACATGACTCTACAAGGCAGATATGGGGACTACTAACTCATACCACATACACATGACTCTACAAGGCAGAGATTGGGGACTAACTCATACCACATGACTCTACAAGGCAGATGTGGGGACTAACTCATACCACATGACTCTACAAGGCAGATAACTTACCACATGACTCTACACAGATAACTCATACCACATGACTCTACAAGGCAGATATTGGGGACTAACTCATACCACACATGACTCTACAAGGCAGATATTGGGGACTAACTCATACCACATGACTCTACAAGGCAGATATTGGGGACTAACTCATACCACATGACTCTACAAGGCAGATATTGGGGACTACCACTCTACTAACTCATACCACATGACTCTACAAGGCAGATATTGGGGACTAACTCTTCATACCACATGACTCTACAAGGCAGATATTGGGGACTAACTCATACCACATGACTCTACAAGGCAGATACTGGGGACTAACTCATACCACATGACTCTACAAGGCAGATATTGGGGACTAACTCATACCACATGACTCTACAGATATTGGCAGATACCACATGACTCTACAAGGCAGATATTGGGGACTAACTTGTACATACCACATGACTCTTACAGACTAAGGCATACCACATGACTCTACAAGGCAGATACTAACTCATACCACATGACTCTACAAGGCAGATATTGGGACTAACTCATACCACATGACTCTACAAGGCAGATATTGGGACTAACTCATACCACATGACTCTGCAAGGCAGATATTGGGGACTAACTCATACCACATGACTCTACAAGGCAGATATTGGGGACTAACTCATACCACATGACTCTACAAGGCAGATATTGGGGACTAACTCGTACCACATGACTCTACAAGGCAGATATTGGGGACTAACTCGTACCACATGACTCTACAAGGCAGATACTGGGACTAACCACACATACCACATGACTCTACAAGGCAGACACTGGGGATCCACACATACCACATGACTCTACAAGGCAGACACTGGGGATCCACACATACCACATGACTCTACAAGGCAGACACTGGGGATCCACACATACCACATGACTCTACAAGGCAGACACTGGGGATCCACACATACCACATGACTCTACAAGGCAGACACTGGGGATCCACACCATGACCTACAAGGCAGACTCTACAAGGCAGACACTGGGGATCCACACACATACCACATGACTCTACAAGGCAGACACTGGGGATCCACACATACCACATGACTCTACAAGGCAGACACTGGGGATCCACACATACCACATGACTCTACAAGGCAGACACTGGGGATCCACACATACCACTATGACTCCACATGACTCTACAAGGCAGACACTGGGGATCCACACATACCACATGACTCTACAAGGCAGACACTGGGGATCCACACATGACTTGACTCTACAAGGCAGACACTGGGGATCCACACATACCACATGACTCTACAAGGCAGACACTGGGGATCCACACATACCACATGACTCTACAAGGCAGACACTGGGGATCCACACATACCACATGACTCTACAAGGCAGACACTGGGGATCCACACATACCACATGACTCTACAAGGCAGACACTGGGGATCCACACATACCACTTGGTTGACACTGAAGAAGTTTGCTAACCAACATACATATGACATACCTCATGTCTGATTGTTAAGATAGTGAAAGCGGTGATAAATCCCAAGTCACTCACCACCTTCCACTTCCAGAGATCTGGAGAACGACACACATATTATCTTACCACACAAAGAATCAAATAGGGGACATAGCATGTAGAGGACTTAATAGGGAAATTACCACCTTGCTAAGTGACTTCATACAGATTCACTTTCCTCCATCAGCTGATAGTGCACACACACACACAAAGCCAACTGCTCACCCAGGGAATTGCTCACATGGGGTAGAGGTAATCTTTTACATCGATTCTCTGAACTTTAGGAGCAATTACTGGTCCAATTATTACTGGCATTTATATGACAGTGGTGCTGATAGCCAAGATCAGAGCCTGTCTATGTATCTGTTGTTATCTTAATTACACAAGGCTTAGTTCAGGTAGTCTGCATTCTTTGAAGATTCTTCAGGTGCTTGATCTATATTTTCTTTTTACCTGCCTCTTGCTGGCACTCACTGATCAAGTATTTTAGCAGGAGGACTGATCATGTTTTGCCAGGCTGGCGATGCACAGTGATGGGTATTGCTCGACTTTTGTATTGCAGTTTATTGCAATAGGGATTCATGTACTGCCACATATGCAAAAAAATATTTCATGTATTCTTTCATCTGTAGTTTATATTATTTACGTGATAAAAACACCCAAAACATTTACCTTGGAGTTTTTGTACTGAAGTTGACAGTGTACACATTGAGATGTTATCTTCTGTTTTCTGATCATGATTTTCTTATGCCCCACACATTTTTGATAATTTTAATGGACATTTATAAAGCGCCTATATCCACGCACTTGTGCATGCTCAAGGCCCTATGACATTATTACTCCGGTTAACACAAGCTGTCGTTGAGTTGAGCTTCAAGGTTATCAGTCATATGACTGATCCCACCAGGTACCCATTCACTCCTGTTTGAGCAGAAGCAATTTTGAACTTTACTTGTTTAAGGTGAGACCACATGTGTGCTTCATTGTGGGGCAGGACTGAAGTCCTAGAAACTCTCAGCAGTCAAGTTGCCAAACACAGTGACCCATCCAAGACTCCCTGTGACCAATATTGCTTAAATTCAGCTGATTTGTGACTTGAGCTCTATGCACACCACCACACAACTCAAATCTTGGGTTCAAACTTATAACCAGCATCTCCTCATGACCAAGGGACACAACTTTTCACAGTTGAGACACTTCTCATCTGTAAATTATAGGAGAATAAAATACAAGCGCTCTAAATCCTTTTGAAATTTGACTTCTATGCTTGCCATTTAAAATGTTCACTTATTATTTTGCAGATTGGATGAAGATGGCAAAGTTCTCACACCAGAAGAAGTGCTTTACAGAGTGAGCAAATTGTATCATTTTAATGACTCCATTATGTTTGTGTCTGAGATATTCTGCAGTGAAAATATAAGGCTGAAAGTACAATGCATGATGTTCTCTCTGCAGGCTGTGAATGGTCAGTGAGATTACAATACATGATGTTCTCTCTGCAGGCTGCGTATAGTCAGTGAGATTACAATGCATGATGTTCTCTCTGCAGGCTGCGTATAGTCAGTGATAGTCATGATATTCTCTGCACTGGCTGTGTGAGTGAGATTACAATGCATGAGAATTACAATGCATGATGTTCTCTCTGCAGGCTGCGTATAGTCAGTGAGATTACAATGCATGATGTTCTCTCTGCAGGCTGCGTATAGTCAGTGAGATTACAATGCATGATGTTCTCTCTGCAGGCTGCGTATAGTCAGTGAGATTACAATGCATGATGTTCTCTCTGCAGGCTGCAATGATAATCAGTGAGATTACAATGCATGATGTTCTCTGCAGGCTGCATAGTCAGTGAGATTACAATGCATGATGTTCTCTCTCTATGCAGGCTGCAGTATAGTCATGATGTGAGATTACAATGCATGATGTTCTCTCTGCAGGCTGCGTATAGTCGGTGAGATTACAATGCATGATGTTCTGCAGGCTGTGTATAGTCAGTGAGATTACAATGCATGATGTTCTCTCTGCAGGCTGCGTATAATCAGTGAGATTACAATGCATGATGTTCTCTCTGCAGGCTGCGTATAGTCAGTGAGATTACAATGCATGATGTTCTCTCTGCAGAATACAATGCTGGTGTTCTCTCTAGTAGTCAGTTACAGATTACAATGCATGATGTTCTGATGTTCTCTCTGCAGGCTGTCAGTGAGATTATAGATCTCTCTGCAGTGATAGTCAGTTACAATGCATGATGTTCTCTCTGCAGGCTGCGTAGAATCAGTGAGATTACAATACATGATGTTCTCTCTGCAGGCTGCGTATAGTCAGTGAGATTACAATGCATGGTGTTCTCTCTGCAGGCTGCGTATAGTCAGTGAGATTACAATGCATGATGTTCTCTCTGCAGGCTGCGTATAGTGGGTGAGATTACAATGCATGATGTTCTCTCTGCAGGTTGTGTATAGACAGTGAGATTACAATGCATGATGTTCTCTCTGCAGGTTGTTTATAGACAGTGAGATTACAATGCATGATGTTCTCTCTGCAGGTTGTTTATAGACAGTGAGATTACAATGCATGATGTTCTTCTCTGCAGGCGGTACAGGCTGTGAACTTCTCCCATGATGCTTGTCACTCACAGATGGATGTCAAGTTCCGCTCCCTCATCTGCTGTGGTCTCAAGTAAGTAGTCTAAAAATATCAGTGCGATTTGTTTTGAGGTTATATTTTAGTCAGAGGTGTTCAAATACTTGAAAACTTAACTTAAAAATTATTCTTGTCTCTCTTTATCTTCAACTTGCTTTGTTAAATAAGAGAAAAAATGTCTACACATATCACGATGTAACAAGCCACTTTCGCTATCATGGGTCACTGATACTCACTCAACCAAGAATATTCTATTTCATATGTTATTGTCTGTTGGTGTTTTTAAATTGTTGTTTTTTTCAAATATATGTTTCAAATTCAACAATGCTGATTTTTGTTCTTTCACATTACAACTAAAATGAAAATTTCCCACTTCCTCATCTCTTTATTTTCACGAGTCAAGCAAACTTTTGAACACCTCTGTTTCAGCTAATTTTTCTTGTCATATTTGTTTATTGGAAATCATATGTTTTACACTCCTAACTCTTTAAATGTTAATGTTGACAAATACCATGCTGTACCAGGTATCCATGAAGTCAAGTTAACTGACACCAGTGATTATGTGAGCTTATGTATCTATCTCACCTATCTATTTGTTGATGGCTGTCATAGGAGCAGGAGCTGGTTTAGCTCATGTAGAAAGCCTCTGTATCATGGCTATGTAGTTCTGAAGGTCTTCAAGAAGGAAACCTTTCAGAAATGAACCTTCTAAACGATCGTGTCCATTTTTACTTTTCTGTTCATTGCATTTTATTACTGGAGTATCTGGGTTACTCTTGACTTGGAAAGTATGCAACAGAGGCAGTGACACATATAGATCCTATCTGTGGGCAATGGTGTGGTTTCCTGCATGACCTACTCCCCAGTGGGCAGTTTGCAGGGGCTCAGGTGCTGGGTCTGTCAGCGGCCAAATTACTAGGATGATGCGGAGTGCTACAGCGTCACATCAGAGTCTTCATGAAGTGATGCAATAGTCGGCTGAAAATAAAACACTTGAAGCTAATTGGTGGGAAAGGCAGTCGATTTCCCTGTTATTTGTTGTGTCACGTTTCAAGTGCCTCTCCTCTCGTTTCTCTCCGCCGTTCTCCCCCCACCTCCCACAACAGCTACTGCCGCGGACCAGCAGTGGGTGAGCATTGTGCGATGCGACGCCCAGTGGGGGGGAGCGAGGTGGAGACGCGAAGAGGAGGATGTGATTAGAGGCACAACAACGACCCACTTCACACCCCACCTCTGAGGTTACACTTATATGGGTAATACAGAAGCGTGAATTGCCATACTTACATAATGTAGTGTTCCTTTCATCAGCTCTTGTCATCAAAGGAGGGCAGTAACTCAGGAGGCTGTCTGAATAGGTTCAGATTGGTTCTGCTGTCTGTGTCATCACATTAAATGTGTATTTCTCATTGGAGGAATTATGTTCATTGCTAGTTTTGGGCCCCAACACTTACCTCTATATCAGCCTCTCTTCAATTGCTCATATATGTTTAATGTTTGTGACATATTAAGCCAATGACATTTTGATAGAGTAATGACAGAGAAGATCTATCATGTATCTGGAACAAACTTGATGGTGATTGGTTGATAATAGTTTTCAAATCAAAGCTCATAATTATGGAATCATTTGTCTTTGCCCTTTCATTTTTAAGCAATATGTTGTACAATCTTCAGAGAGCCTGTCAGAATCTATTTTGAGTATAAGTTTGTTTATAACATGCAGTTGGCTTTGTTAAATCTGCAGGTATATGACTCAACATGTTGCTCTTCTTCAGATCAGTATGAAACTGATACAGACTGGTGTTCAGTCACATATATATTGGAACAGTTATATCAACCATGTCTTGTTATACCTGATGAACAGTGTTATGTTAATTGACTTTGACATTTGTACCACAAGGCATGAACACCTGCCCCCGAGGAGATTTGAGTGCATCTAAGACATGCATGATGCATCAATATGTAGTTGTAATGCACTTGATCTGCAATACTCCTGCGACATATACTGATGGTAGATGCATTATCGTTAAGCACATATGTAGCTTCTGAACACCTGTTCTACGTACATTCCTTCTGACACCTGGAGCACTTGGTGATCCCGAGAATCACCTGCAGCATTTATATCAGTTTTGATACTTGAAAAACTCACACCACCTGTGTCTGATGTCTGCTTTGACACCTATGGTACTCATGCCGCATGTAACATCTGTAGAACTCCAATCACCTGTAATATCCATATAAACTAGAGCAACTGTAGCACACGACACCTTGAGTGCATGCACATGACACCTATGTAGTATTCATGCCACATTTGACACTTGTAATGATCATGGTAAATATGACACATGTAGTACACATGACACATGAAGTACTCACTATGCCTGTTGCACATGTCATGCTCATATGTGTGGCTCATGATATGACACATGTGCAACTTTCACACATCTGCAGTGCTCATGTCATGATACATGTACTACTCACATGATACACCTGTAGTGTTCATGACTTGACACATGTTGTACTTGCATGATACACCTGTAGTGTTCATGACTTGACACATGTTGTACTCACATGATACACCTGTAGTGTTCATGACTTGACACATGTTGTAATCACATGATACACCTGTAGTGTTCATGACTTGACACATGTTGTACTCACATGATACACCTATAGTGTTCATGACTTGACACATGTTGTACTCACATGATACACCAAAGTATTCTATGACTTGACACATGTTGTACTCACATGACTTACCAAAGGACTAATGTCAGGACACATGTGATGGCTCATGATAAACCTGCAGTGCTTATGACTTGACACATGTTGTACTCGCATGATACACCTATTGTGTTCATGACTTGGCACATGTGGTACTCACATGATACACCTGTAGTGCTCATGACTTGACACATGTTGTACTCGCATGATACACCTGTAGTGTTCATGACTGACACATGTTGTACTCACATGATGCACCTATAGTACTCATGTCTTGACACATGTGATGGCTCACATGATACACCTATAGTGTTCATGACTTGACACATGTTGTACTCACATGATACACCTGCAGTGCTCATGACTTGACACATGTTGTACTCACATGATACACCTGTAGTGCTCATGACTTGACACATGTGGTACTCACATGATGCACCTATAGTACTCATGTCATGACACGTGATGGCTCACATGATACACCTGCAGTGCTCATGACTTGACACATGTTGTACTCACATGATACACCTATAATGTTCATTACTTGGCACATGTGGTACTCACATGATACACCTGTAGCACTCATGACTTGACACATGTTGTACTCACATGATACATCTGCAGTGCTCATGACTTGACACGTGGTACTCACATGATGCACCTATAGTACTCATGTCATGACACACCTTGTACTCACATGATACACCTATAATGCTCATGACTTGACACATATAGTACTCACATGATACACCTGTAGTGCTCATGTCATGCTACCTGGGTATTGACAGGATACACATGTAGTGCTCATGTCATGACACATGTATACTCACTTGATACACCTGTAGTGCTCATGTCATGACACCTGGGTACTGACAGGATACACATGTTGTGCTCATGTCATGCTACCTGGGTACTGACAGCATACACATGTAGTGCTCATGTCATGACACATGTATACTCACTTGATACACCTGTAGTGCTCACATGGTACACCAGTAATACTCATTTGACATGGAACCTGCAGTTTTAATGTGATATGATACGTTTAGTACTCCTGTGACATGTGACACATGTGTATTTCAAGTGACACTTAAGTCCTACACGTAACACGTGACACGTAAGACCTACATACTTCTTCAAACATCCCAAGACCAAGATACAAATTGGTTTGTTTAGCATCTGAAACATTCCACCTTGCTAAAGCTGCAATCTCTGTTCCAGTGAGCAGGTGCTGCACCTATGGCTGGAGACTCTCTGTTCTTCCCTGGACGTGGTGGAGAAGTGGTATTACCCCTGGTCCTTCATCCGTTCCCCAGGCTGGGTGCAGATCAAGTGTGAACTAAGGTAGGTCACGGCATCCTACTTTACGTAGTGACTTTGGGGATCTGTTCAAAAATTTGATGTCAGATAAAAAACTTAATTACTTAGTGAGTGAGTGCTTCCTTTGGCAATAATTCCATCAATATTCTGGTGGCGAACACAGGAATGGGCTTCCCACATTGTATCCATGTTTCCAGTTCTTCTGTCTCTTTAGGTTTACAATTGGATGAAATCAACTTACCTTAGCACTCAATGATTTATATAGTAACTAAAATCCATACTATTTCACAGATCATATTTTCACCTGGAGAACGTCATCATGAACTTTTCAATCCTCAGTTGTCACTCCCTGTGTAAACATTCCCCAGAATATGTTTATGATATATTAGGATTAGGTGATTCTAAATATGTTTATCTTTCTTCCTCATAGTATTACAAGGATTTCAACATTTTCAGAATTAGATTTTGGAGGGGAATGTGCAATATGTCTCAAAGCTGAAGGAATTAATGTTTTCCCTACATTGAACTTTTGAACTGGTCCCCAACTATTGTCTTTGTCATCATCTAATTGTTGTAATGAGAATCTCTTCTTTACTTGGTGACTTTCATCTTTATCATTATCTAGTTGTTGTAATGTTGTAATGCGAAACTGTTGTAATGCGTAATGTTGGCAGCTTTATCTTTATACATGTGTATTGTCGTTACTAATTTTACACCTGTTAATACCTTTTAGATCACCTTTGCTTTGCACCTTGAATAGTTCTTGAATGCAACTATGTGGAACCTTTAGCTCTGCTAGGCACTGTTTCCATATTTATTTACTTTATCTGATTTGTAGCTGTGGTATTCCATTATTCATTATGCATACTTAAAACAAAGACTGCCTCAACTTTATGCTAATCTTTTAATATTAACCTGCAGACTTGTTTGCTTCAATGCTTCTTTTATCATGTTCTTCATCAGCGTTCAATTTGAAAAATCAAAGAGCCATTCATTTACTGATTTGGACATGCTTTTATATGCATGGTGTAAGTGAATGTTTTAGTTTGTATATGAACTAACTATGTATATTTTCATTGCCTGTCAAGAACACGTTGCCGGATGATATGTCTAATCACAAACTTATTTAATGGCTCACCTGCGGAAATTGTGGGTCAGAATAGATTTCAGTCCTTCATGTATGCCATACAGACTGACTAAAATGGTATTCAGTTGGTCAAAATCTTTGACTTGGCTGATTGTGCGTCTCTGTACCCTGGAGGTATGGGTGGTGCTCGTACTATCAACCACTGGTTCATCTATCACTGATGTCATTATGTAGAGGCTGTGAGGAACAGCTGCAATATTACTGACAAGAAACATGCACTTATTTAGTGGCTGCCCCACTCAGGGATATGTTGATAAGTTGTTACGAATTTTGTTGTTTTATACTTAGGGTTGTTGCAGCTGTGAAAAGAGGTTGTCTGTAAATATTGGGTATGGACCAGACTGTCGAGTGACTGATATTATCAGTATCGATCCTTATGATTGGGTTATGTGGACATGGGATGTGCATATCTTTTACATCTCCTGTAGGCGAACTCTGTAGGAGTCCGTAATCAGTAGGCACTTGATGTTCTATTCTTGTCTCTAGTGTAAGGGTTGGAGGTGTTCCATAGTGGGATCTGGTTTGTGTGTGTGATTTACCATGCTGATATGAATTGTTGCTCATGGTATTGACTACAGGTTTGCATTGTCGCGATACTCATAGATAACTTTGATAGACTGTGAAATTTGTTACACCGGTGTAAACCAACACTCACACATAAAGTTGAAAGGGAACTGTTTCAAGAGTTTCAGGGGTAAGATAGACTTGGAGTAAAAGCATTTGATTATTAACCACAGACCGGAATTCAGTTCCACATGAGTTTTGTGTCAAGCTAATTTTTCATGTCTCCCACTGTGATATGGGAGGAATAATGCTGAAAGAGTACAAAAATAAGTTAAAGAATTACTCAATAAGCAGTAGGACACTAGGTAGGGCTTGTACCTTGGTGTTTGATTCCTTTATTGCTGACTTGCAACAAATGGTCAGTGAATGGTATTTAGAGATTGTCGATTGATTTTCTGTGATAAGGGACTGGGATATTGATTAAAAAAGGGAGAAAGATTGTTTTAGTGTGTACCAGAAAAAAACAAAACAATTTACCTATCAAACCCTTCAAATGTTCAGTGGACATTCCTCATACATTTAAAAAAGAAATTGAAAATAAATGATTAACTGATCTGCTTGAAGTAGGGCCTCGTCAAGTGATGTGTCTACAAAACAAATCCCAGCACCCTCTTCCCTTCCAACCAGTAAGGGACCATCTCATCTCATCTCAGGGAATGTTGACTCTTTAAGTCTCCTAGTGTAGTACATGAAAGTATGAAGGGTTTCAGGGCTGTATCAGTTACCTGGCTCCCAACCCTGCCCTCTGAACAGATGTAGACAAAACTGCAAGCTAGCTATGAATGGCTCTATTATCACTAGCAATCTATTTTAGTTTACAAACTGCAACAGCATGTTATTATCATTTGTTTACACAGAATGGAAACTGTCTAGTCAGAAGAGCACCTTTGTGTGTTTTCTTTCGGTGTAGGAGAGAGAGAGCATGCCTGCATTATAACCCTGCCTTGCATTCCTAGCATACCCCTCAAACATTCACCTTTTTCCTAGCAATCAGATTTCCCAAGCAGGAATGAAGATTTCATAACACAGACGTATCTATAATACATAGTGTCACTCACCCTTGGCTTGTGACGTAGATTGGCCACTAAAGTGGAACAGGACCGAAGTATGAAGATCAGTACAGATTCCGTGTATGTTCGTAATTCCTGAAATCACCATTTTTTGGCTGTGCTCATTTGCAGAAAGGGCATAAAGGTGATCTCTATGTACTGACAGGCTCAACAGGGTTGTTGCCACTTAACTGTCATGAAGTGACGGACTGACAGAAATATATGCGATTATCAAGTCGTTTCAATAAGGTTGCAGTGTTTTTCCAGGGTATACCCTTGTGTCAATAAACAGCCATCAATCTTAGAAAGGGTTTGGGGATGTTTTTGAACAGATTCGCAGTTCTTACAGGCAGAAGAGGCTGTCAAGCAGTCAGAGTTTGAATGAGGAGCTGTATGATATCTTATCTTCTTGTTATAAATGTGTTATACATGTGTATTTTTGAAGGTGACTGGTTTCAAGTGTGCAGATGTCTGTTAAGTTCTGACAGCTGATCACTCAGGCATGATGCATGTAAACACCTGAAAAAGGTGTTAGCTTGCAGTGTATGTTGTTTATCTTAAGTTTTACTTATGGCCTGAAAGATTCCCGCATTCCATAAGTCATTATCCTATTGTGCTGTCACATCCCTTAACGCTTGTCAGGTCAGGTATCTGATTTGGCAATGGGTACTTTTGTATTCAACCTACTTGTTTTGTTGTTGTCTAATAGATTTGGTTTCTTGTAAGAATTATAATTGATAAATCTGATACTGTTAATACTCAGATTGTTGAAACTATTTATCAGTCAACTCTGAGAATGATATATTACAAGAATGTGAGTGAGAGAATGAGTATGCTTTTATTGCACTGTTAGCAATATTCAAGCAATATGACAGTAGTGGACTCAAGGAATTGGCTTCACACATTGTATCCATGTGTTGAATCAAACTCGGATCTTCAGTGGTGTATGAGTTGGGTTTAGTGCCGCTTTTGATGTGATGTGATGTGATGTGATGTGAGAAGGAAGCCAGGTGTGATATGATGTGAGAAGGAAGCCAGGTGTGATGTGAGAAGGAAGCCAGGTGTGATTGATGTGATGTGATGTGATGTGAGAAGGAAGCCAGGTGTGATATGATGTGAGAAGGAAGCCAGGTGTGATATGATGTGAGAAGGAAGCCAGGTGTGATGTGAGAAGGAAGCCAGGTGTGATGTGATGTGATGTGAGAAGGAAGCCAGGTGTGATGTGATGTGATGTGAGAAGGAAGCCAGGTGTGATATGATGTGAGAAGGAAGCCAGATGTGATGTGAGAAGGAAGCCAGGTGTGATGTGATGTGATTGATGTGATGTGATGTGATGTGAGAAGGAAGCCAGGTTTGATGTGATGTGATGTGATGTGAGAAGGAGGCCAGTTGTGATATGATGTGAAAAGGAAGCCAGATGTGATGTGAGAAGGAAGCCAGGTGTGATGTGATGTGATGTGAGAAGGAAGCCAGGTGTGATATGATGTGAGAAGGAAGCCATGTGAGAAGGAAGCCAGGTGTGATGTGAGAAGGAAGCCAGGTGTGATGTGATGTGATATGATGTGATGTGAGAAGGAAGCCAGGTGTGATGTGATGTGAGAAGGAAGTCAGGTGTGATGTGATGTGATGTGATGTTAGAAGGAAGCCAGGTGTGATGTGATGTGAGAAGGAAGCCAGGTGTGATGTGATTTGATGTGATGTGAGAAGGAAGTCAGGTGTGATTGATGTGATGTGAGAAGGAAGCCAGGTGTGATGTGATGTGATGTGAGAAGGAAACCAGGTGTGATGTGATGTGATGTGATGTGAGAAGGAAGCCAGGTGTGATGTGATGTGATGTGATGTGAGAAGGAAGCCAAGTGTGATGTCATGTCATGTGATGTGAGAAGGAAGCCAGGTGTGGTGTGATGTGGTGTGAGAAGGAAGCCAGGTGTGATGCGGGTCCCAGCCATTACCACTTTAGTAAAACCAGAAGGCATGGGTTGGTGGTGACAAACCTTGAAACATAATCTGGGTGAACCAGGATTCGAACCCAGTTACATGAGCTTCTGGCATGCCCAAGGTATGCCACACTGCTGTGCAGGCTTTTTGTTGTATTGTTTGTGCAAAAGCATAACTCGTGTGGTGTGACTCGTGAACATCAGGGTTAGAATTCTGACAACCCATGCTTGTCATAAGAGCTGACTAACAGGATGGGGTGGTCAGACTTGGTTGATGCATATCACCGTATCTCAGTTGCGTAGATCGATGCTTATGATGTCACTGAC